CCCCATTACTCATTCCCTCCTTTCTCCATTACTCACTCCCCCTATCTCCATTACTCATTCCCTCCTTTCTCCATTACTCACTCCCTCCTTTCTCCATTACTCATTCCCTCCTTTCTCATTACTCACTCCCTCTCCTTTTCTCCATTCACTCACTCCCCTCCTTTCTCCATTACTCACTCCCTCCTATCTCCATTACTCATTCCCTCCTTTCTCCATTACTCACTCCCCTCCTTTCTCCATTACTCACTCCCCTCCCTTCTCCATTACTCAATCCCCTCCTTTCTCCATTACTCAGTCCCCTCTCTCCATTACTCACTTCCCTCCTATCTCCATTACTCATTCCCTCTCTCCATTAATCACCCCTCCTTTCTCCATTACTCACTCCCCTCCTTTCTCCATCACTCACTCCCCTCCTGTCTCCATTACTCACTCCCCTCCTATCTCCATTACTCACTCCCCTCCTATCTCCATTACTCATTCCCTCCTTCCTGCATTACTCACTCCTCTCCTTTCTCCATTACCCACTCTCCTCCTATCCCCATTACTCATTCCCTCCTTCCTGCATTACTCATTCCCTCCTTTCTCCATTACTCACTCCCCTCCTATCCCCATTACTCATTCCCTCCTTTCTCTATCACTCACTCCCCTCCTTTCTCCATTACTCATTCCATCCTTTCTCCATTACTCACTCCCCTCCTATCTCCATCACTCACTCTCCTATCTCCATTATACTCATCCCCTCCTATCTCCATTACTCATTCCCTCCTTTCTCCATTACTCACTTCACTCCTATCTCCATTATACTCATCCCCCTCCTATCTCTATTACTCATTCCCTCCTTTCTCCATTACTCACTCCCCTCTTATCTCCATTATACTCATCCCCTCCTATCTCCATTACTCACTCCCCTCCTATCTCCATTACTCATTCCCTCCTTCCTGCATTACTCACTCCCCTCCTATCCCCATTACTCATTCCATCCTTCCTGCATTACTTACTCCCCTCCTTTCTCCATTACTCACTCCCCTCCTACCCCATTACTCATTCTCTCCTTTCTCCATTACTCACTCCCATCCTACCCGATTACTCACTCCCTTCTTTCTCCATTACTCACTCCCTTCCTATCTCCATTACTCATTCCCTCCTATCTCCATTAACCACTCCCCTCCTATCCCCATTACTCATTCCCTCCTTTCTCTATCACTCACTCCCTTCCTATCTCCATTACTCATT